AAAACGGTTAGAGTATTAATATAGTGTTTTATACTTTAGGGCCTCATATTCAATTTTGCACAGGGCCTTTTGTATGTCTGAGACGGCCCTGAAGCCCACAGGCTGATACACATTTGTGGCCCGTATTACACGTTTAATTAATAATTACACAAATACAAAGATAACTAACTAGATTGAACACCATAAAATATTCCCAACAGTCATAAATATTTAATTATTTCCACATTCATTTACCATAAGAGTTTTTTTATAAATTTTTCTTTCGATAGTTTTTCCTTTGGGAAAAGGTACAAATATACCCTTGTAGTATGGGTATGAGAACAAATATATTTCCATGTTCTATGTTTTGGAGCATATATACCCATGAACTTAAAAGATGCAAATATACCCCTTATTGACTTTTAAAAAATAAAATAAATTTTAAAAAACACTAAAAATAAACATTAAATTCGAAATTGAAAAAAATAAAGATTTAGAAATAAATATTTATTTTTATGTTAAAATATTAACTCTTTAATTTTAGATTGCAAAATTATTATTTTCCCCTGGTAAATGAAGCACTTTAAATTCCTAAATATTAATTTTGCTCTTGTTGTGAAATTTTGATCAAATTGTTACATTTTTTGAAATAACACATTCTTTGATTTTGTTCAACCTTAATAAAATTAAATTCACTATTTTGTAATCTTGGACTATTATCATCATACAAAATTTATAATTTTAGTGCAAAAAATACAAAACTAATGATATTTTTTTACGTTGCAACACATATATTAACGCTTTTTTGAAAGAATTTTAAATTTATTGTAAAGTTTTGAAATAATATTTTATACTAACAATATTAAATTGTGATATAAAAAATATAAGGAGATTTGAACAATTAGATTTTTTTATTTTTCAATTGAAAATTTTAATTTTTTGTGTTTTTTGATATTTATTTTTATCTATTTATATATATGATCATGAGGGGTACTTTTGCACCTTTTAAAAGTTTAGGGGTATATATGCATTTTCACATAAATTTTAGTGGTATATTTGTTCAAAAAAATAGAACATGAGTATATCTGTTCTCACACTCATACTATAATGGTATATTTGTACATTTTCCCTTTTTCCCTTTTTGTTCTATTCCCTCGTTTTTATTTCCTTTCTTTTATATGTATTCTTATATGTTGTCTCTTTTTGTAATTTTGTTCTGGTTACTTGTTTATATTTTTTTCTTTATTTTTCAGAAAAGAGGAAAATATATTGATGGTGGAATCAAGGTAAGAAAAGGGAAAAAGAGATAAATAAGTAGAAATAAAAAGAAAGTAAAGTAAAAAAATGTATGATGATAAAAAGATATTTTATCAGATGGGAACTAATCTAAAACAATACATAAAATGGAAATAAAATAATAAATGGGAAGAAGAAAAAGAAGGTAAAAATAGAATACGTAAACATGGGAAAAAATAAAAATAAAAAAAGAAGATGAAAATAGGGAATAAAAGAGTCAAGAGGATACAAATAAAACGAAAAAACTTTTAGGTAGAAAAACGAAAAAAATGAATCGTGAGACCTTTTTGAGAAGATTTGTGAAAGGCGGGAGAAGTGATTTTTTTGTCTTCATCATTCCTTCAATGTGAGCGCGGAAGCTATTGGCCAGTTGTCATTAGTAGTCAATAGACTCATCTCGAAACCCATTGAACCAATCATATGTTTGTCCCCCTAAGGTGGAGATGAACATTCCACATATGTACTCATTGGAAGCGCCAAGCAGGAATATGCTCGACTGGTACCGAGAGTAATGCTCCAAAGGATCTGTAGTCCCTTCGTAAGGTTTGGTCGGTGGGCCTTTATACCTGGTTAGTATAGGGGTTCACATCACCCTATCGATAAAGAGGGGTTTGGATCGTACCTTAATCTGATTTTCTTCGTGGTTGAGCTAAGTTGGGAGCACCTGAGACTGCTTGACGAGGTCGTTCAGCCGAGGATTGGTGGGTAGAAATGTTATAAGGTCCAGGTGTTTGGCCGCAATGGTGGCAGCCTTGAGCTCCTCCAACTACTTGGTGAGTTGCTGGATCTGCTCATTCCTCGGATCAGCCTCCTACTGAGGCCGAGTAATCCCAAACTGGTCTCACTGAGGAGAGAGTGGTCAAGGGGAAGGTGGTCTAGCTAGTGAGAGTAACTGGTTCTCCAAAAGTGGCAAAATCATCTTGAGGTTGGCCAATATTGCACCGACAACAACAATCTAATTCTGTTGAGCCAGAGATCCTGAATTTGGGGATTGACAACATCGAGCTGAGACTGAAGGGCTTCCTTGGAAGCCAGGCGTTGCCTCAAGTCACGAGTCTCCTGCTGGATAATATCCCGCAAATCAACGACAATTTGTTTTCCAGGGCCGCTTTCCCCCGCTTTGGATGAGGTGGTGGTCTCCGCATACTTCTCCTTATCCAGAGTTGTAGGAGTCGAGGGAGCCACATCCTTTTAATTACTTATGGGGTTCACGAGTCATTTTTAGAAATGAATGAATGATAGAAGATCTAACTTGACACTATTGGAACTCTCAATGAAAGCACCAAATGATAGGCTATGTAACCCATGGGCAATAGATCATAGGGTTACACAGAAGTTGGGTAAGTTAGTGGGAAAGGTATGTATTGATTTTCGCAAAATAATAGTACAAGCAATATTTGGGGATCACTTTCCTCAATCGGAAAGATTATATTTATAGGCAAAATACAATAATGAGTTATTAGAACTGATAGCTTAGCCCATCAGATCAATATATTGGGCTATAATGAATAAAATATCGCATCTGCCCAATAAGAAATACGAAATATATTACAAATAGGTCCGTAAATGATAGCTTATGGAGTATACTATATTTGAGAGAAACGTTGGCTGAACAAGATAAACAAGGTCTAGAAATCGAATGAAGTTAGTGATGTTGCTGCTGCAAAAACTTGAGGAATGGGAATGCAAACAGGCTACTATGGTGTTATGGAGTATATGGCAGGTTAAAAATATTAAACATTGGGATACTGTGGTAGAGACTTAGCATCACATTCAAATACTAACCAATGAGGAAATGAGAAGTGTCACTTGGATGTCTTGGGGAACACGTCGATGACGTCAATCGTGATGTCAAGCTAATGTATGGTGATATCAACCCTTGGAACGGGACCATTATGTCAACAATGACGTCAACCCTTGGGAACTAGGACATGATGTCAACAATGACACCAACCATTGGGAACTGAGCCATCATGTCAACAATAACAATTGTGACACAAGCCCCATGAATAAGTGTGGGAATTGTAATGGAGTCCATACAGGTTAGGTCCGCTCGACCTCGTCTGATAACATCAATGCAAAATCCTAGAATAACAACGACTAGAATAACAACAACTATGCTCAGCCTCGTTGAGTTGAGTTGACTCAACCCAATGCAGAATAAGCTCGCTAACGGGCTATTGGGCCTAGATTACGATACTGACCTCCATGCGGGGCCTTAACCTCTTGAGTAAGTAGCTTGGACTCCTAATTTGGACAATGGGAAAAAGACTTCAATAGGACTGAAAGAAGTGCCATGAATGTAAATAGGACTAGCAACTTTTTCAAACCTAAATAGGACTAATTTTGAACCAAAGAGACAAAAGTACCCTCTATCAGTTGAATATACCCAGCTGCCGCCAACATATCCATTCAATCCTACCTTGCCAGCCAAGAGCGGAACTGCCACAGACGGAGACCCTCTATATTCACTGCCGAGTTGAGCGTCGTTCTTTGTCACTGCAGTGTCGTGGTTGCCGCAGCTCGTTGGCGGAGTGGTCTTCACTGCTCGTCGCCGGAGTGGTCGTCGCTGCCCGTTGCCGGAGTGGTCGCTGCTGCTCATCACTGGAGTGGTCGCCGCTGCTCGTTGCCGGATTGCATATGTGGTCGCCTTCTTAGTTTCTTCTTCTTTCTCCCCTCTTACCCTGGCCTTTTATGGAGTTTCTTCTCTAGTGCTGAGTCGTAACTCTTCGGTCTGTAACTCTTCGTTGTTTGTTTTATTTTTCAATTTCGTAATCATAATTTTTGCTTTTCCATTTTTATTTCATTTTGCTGATTCAGGGAATTCAATTTTATGTAATTTTCATTTTTTTGTATTTATTTTGGAAAATAATTTTCATTGATAATAATATGATACTCTGTAAATATTATGACATTGGTATTAGTAATTTAATATCAGTAACATGGCCCTAATTTTGTTGGATTTTGTTGTACTGTTTTGAACAATGACATTGTGACATGTTATTAAAAATAAGTTGACATTGTAATGACATTGTAATAATGATAATGTCATAAGAATGTCAATGACAATGTCATAAGAATGTCAATTAAAAACAATGGTAATGACAATGTCATAAGAATGTCAATGACAATGTCATAAGAATGTCAATAAAAAACAATGTCATAAAAATGTCAATGACAATGTTATAAAAATGTCAGTGACAATGTCATAAGAATGTCAATGACAAAGTCATAAGAATGTCACTAGAAAACAATGTCATAAGAATGTCAATGACAATATCATAAAAATGTCAATAACAATGTCATAAGAATAACAATTAAAGTGGAACCGGAACAATTATAACAATGTTATAAACATACCGAGTAAACATAGAATAAAACATAGCACTCTTCTTCTCTCAAAAAAATAAAGCAACACATTAGAGTTACAATTTGAAAAAATTGACATGGTAACAAATATGTCAATGACAATGCCAATGTCAATGATATAAAAAATTGACATTGTAAAAATGACATTGTAACAAAGATTAAACTTGACAATGTAAAAATTTGACATTGTAAGAATTTGACAATGTTTTCATTATAACTACACATTGTCAAGATTAAAAGATAAAAAATGTCAAAATTACTCGCTCATGCAATTTAAGTAAGGTGCCCACGATTTTTTTGAACTAAAAAATGCAAAACAAGGAGAATTTTCACATAGACATTTCATCAAACAGTTCTTGTGCAAAAGAAAAACTCACTGATGCATTTATTAAAATGGAACTACCCTCTACATTAATTGAAGATATAGCAACTATTTGTATTAACAAGTACTTTAATCAACAAATATCTCCCTTTAATTTCTGTTTACACAAAAGACAACCACAAAAACTAATATCAGATCTGGAACGAAGAAGAAGAGATCTGGAACATCTTCATTGATGCCAAAACAGCTCAGTGGAAAAACAATATCAGATCTGGGTGCAACAACAACGAAGAAAAATAAGGGAGAGCAAAAGCAAGAGGACTCTTGACGCCGCTGCCTTGTCTCCATCTTGCCGTCGCCGCCGTTGTGTCGATATGTCATCGCCGTCTCTATTTCCCTGTCGGAAGAAGAAATCAGGAAGTTCAATGGTGCGATGGTTGGCCGCCGTTACTTTCGTAGCAAAAACAGCCACAGAAGAAAGAGGAGCATAGGAGGCCGAGGAGAAGAAGAAAAAGAGGACTGCCCGCGCAGCTGGAGCCTGTCGCTGCCACCGCACTCGCCGCCACCGTGCTCGCTGTGCCATCATGTTCACCCCACCATGTTCTGCTACATTGTTTGGGAAGAGAATGTAGCTGGTCCGGTAAGAATTTGTCCATACGAAAGAGAGAGACTTGGCCCTGAGTGTGAACTTGTGGAGTCGGAGTAGCGCTGCAAAAATAAAGAACGGGGATAATTTTGGAAACTTCTTCAAATTAGGTCCTATTTATGAGTAAAAAAAGTCAAGGTCTTATTTAATTACATAGAAGAAGTTAAGCTCCTATTTAGCATCATTTCTATTTGGACCATCTATCTCTAGGTTCACCGAGTGTGACATTATACTCCATCATCGTGATTTAGAGTTCAATTCATTCCCAAAATAGATTTATTACCGTTAACGAAGCTTGGGCAACTGTACAAATTCAAATTTGGAAAAAATGGGTGTGTACAATTTGTACTGAATGATCCGGCCAAAAGATTGATATGTTTACCCTTCGATAAACCACGGTGATAAATATTCGACCGTCCAAAGATGTAGGTCCTTGATAAACACACATTGCAACGGCTATCCAATTCTAATTGAAACACCATAAATGTGATATTTCCACTTTAAGTGTTATTATATTGCATAATACGGGGCCAAAAGTCCAGGATTTTTTTTGCTTATAGTGGTATTACTACTGTTCACACCAGTGGCGGAGCCAGAGGTTTGTCCAAGGAGGGGCAAACCAAAGACTAAAAATTTTAAAGTTCGTGTCCAAAATATAATAAGAACAACAATAGCGTAATAATTTAACAAAAAATTATAGTTCATTACATACTACTTGATTTACTTCTGCAACCTAGGCAAATCAATCCTACGAGTTTTCATATTTTGAAAATGCTGCATAATAGCTTCATTATCAATTGCTTGAAAAATGTCTCTTTCGATGTAGCATACTAAGCAATCCGTAAGATAGTCATCTCCCATCTTATTGCGAAGATCTGTCTTGATAATATTCATCACTGAGAAAGCTCTTTCAACTGTGGCTGTTGCAACTGGTAACACTAGAGCCAACTCAATAAGACGATAGACCAAGTGAAAAGATTTGTGAATCGTAAGCTCAACCATCTTCTTAGACACTTCACCAATACTTTGTAAAGTGGAAAATGCTTCATTTCCTCTCATCTCACATATCCAAACTTGGAGTTGTTCTTTAAGCTCCATTTGCTCAACAGCTGAAAAATCAGATGAATATAACTCCGCAAGACTGAGTAGCTTTGACTCACAGAAATTGGAAAATTTATCTTTAGGATCAAGGCAAGCTAAACAAGCGAGTAAATCTGTATTTGACTCACTAAAGCGATTCTCCATTTCCAGATTGACCTGGTCTATAACCTACAATAAGGTAATAATAAAAAGTAGTAGTAATAGTAATAATAATAATGATAATAATAATAACAACAACTAATAAATAATTTAAATTTTAATAAAAAATACCTGATAAAAAATATCAACTCGAAAGTGATGATAATTTGTTACCGGATGGCGAACGCGTCTAGAACGATGAGTTGTATCTTCCATGTTTAGAATGTCAATCCAAGAAATTTCCTCTATTTAATGAGCTCTCTCGCTCATTATGACCACGAAAAGCCAATCCTTGTGCAATTAAAAATCTAGCACATTCCACACTTGCATTCAAACGAGTATGGTATGCCGCACCCAACAGTTGTGTTCCTGAAGAGAGACTTCTTGAAATACTTTGTTTTTGATTTTTGAAAGCAAAAAATTGTGTTCTAGCATCATTGTGCACACTCTCTACAATACCAACATGATCTCTAGATTTTTCAGGAGCTTTCTTCCAATTACGGAATCCAGTCCTCACAAACACATCATCACCAAATCTCTTTCCTTCATGCCCATGAAAAAGGTAACACCAAAAACAGAAAGCGGCATCTTTAGAACAAATGGGGAGAAGTGGGAACTAACTGGAGAAGGAAGGTAGATTTCTGTTGGGGAGTAAAGCCAGAGAGGGAGCGGGCGATGCTGCTTCTTAGTTCTCACGTTCGCTGCCTGCCTGCGTTCTCAATTGCTCGATTCATTTTTTTTGGCGGAGTGGGAAGGGACTACCGACTGCCTAGGTCTTTTGTTAATGAAGCTTTGAATTTTTAACCCACTTAATGGCTTTAGACTTTAGTGATTACGTTTTGAATTGTTATTTTTTTCATTTTTGGGCCTAGGCTTTAGGATTGTCTAGGTGGCTTGGGCTTTAGAATTGTTTTTTTTTTCATTTTTCTACTTATGCCCGTTTTTTTTACTTAGCCTTAGACTAGATGCTCATTTGTCTCATTGACTCATTAATCCCCTTTTATTCTATATTTCATTTTTTTTTACTTTTTCTGAAAATACTTTTTTATTTATTTTAACACTTCATCTTAAAATAACCTTAAGTTGTACTTATTGTTTTTAAAATTAAAAAAGAAGCCGGGGCAAGAAACATATTATAAGTAATACTAGTAAAAAAAAATAGTCGGAGCGGGGGCGCTTGCCCCCCCTTGCCCCCCCTAGCTCCTCCACTGGTTCACACCACTATAACCACATGACATTGGAAAAACTGGACCCCGCAACTTCATTCACCATTGTTCTGGTTCCATCCTAATATGTCCGTGGGTATTGGCCACTTCGTTAAGGATGTTATGGAGTAGACATTTCCATGTCCTGTGGGTATTGGTGCATGATGTTGTCAAAGTTTCCTTGTTGCAGAAATCCAAACACCGTCCCAATTCTTCCAGGCTCAGAGTCATAAAAAGGCTCCAGGAAGCCAACAGGACTGCTATTCACAACACCATAGCCACATGTGACATTGGAAAAACCGGGTCCCGCCACTTCATTCACGCGTTGTTCTGGTTCCATCCTAATATGTCCGTGTCTAAGAGCTACCGCCTTGTGTACAACTGTCCAATCAGGGCGACTCCATAGATACAATGGTGGTGACTCATTGTTCCATTGCTCTATCAGCTCATCATGCACATTCACTGACCCCGGCAGGTAAAATGACTGGGTAGAAAATGTGGATGAGTACATCAATACTACATTTAAGCAAGTTCTTTAAGCGAATAAAACATGGAACTAGAAAAACTGGATTATTGAAAGCTAACCTTTCCAGCCAGTATTTCTTCATCCTCCCAAATAATATCATATGGATCCTGCCTTTCATCAAGCCTGGTTACGTAAAATTAGATCATATAGTAAGGCCTAGTTTAGTATAGTCGTGACTTTTTTCAAGTCACAGCGCTAAATTTAGGATGCTACGACAGCACCCAGTTTTTGACAAACTTAAAAATATTTAGTTTTTGCACTTCGGGCGTGTCACAATATTTGAATTTGCACCACTTTTTTTACTTAGCGCCAGAGAACAAGGCATATGTACTAGAGTCTGGACCTCATTCAGTACACTGTACTTCATTATTTATCTTAACATTTGATTTTGTACCCCATCATTTATTTTGTATTTGCTTTTGAATCCCACTACGGGTTGCATAGTCAAAGTAATGCAAGGGGTACAAAGACAATATGAAGTCAACATGGGGTGAAAATTCAAAATTCTCCACAAAACTATTAGTTAACTAGCTTAACAAAAGGCCTTCCAACACTGCAGTACCAAAAGAATTTCTCATAATGTTCTGAAGTTCCTTTTTGGAATCTCAAGTATTTATCATTTTCTTTAAGCAAAGAATTGTGTGGTTCATATTGAATCTTTCATTTTCAAATAAATCACACACACAATTTCACTACCTACCAATACAAATAGTAAATGAGAAAGCAAATTGGGACAGAGGAGTTTCAAATTACAAAACATTTTTTCCTCACAGCACAACACAACACCCCATATTCACAGTTCAGGCTTTATAACAATAATACCGAACTGGCCCTAAGATGCTGTATACATGTATGATTGATCACCTTTTGGTTTGCTTAGGGACTGTAACAATAAGAAGCTTTGGTCTGAACTTAAGAGCTTGGTTCAGAAATTCATAGGCATTGGCAAAGGGGGGATTTAGCCCCATGACCTGTTGAAAATTACAAGTTTGACGCATTAGATATTGTCACTTTCATCCATTCCATAATAAAATAAACAACTGTATGGAGCTTACCAGATTAGACCCTTCAGGTAATTCCCCAACTTTAATACTCAACCAATTCCTCTTCTCAAAGTTGAAATCATTCTGAGGCAAAACATACAAAGAAGCACTTAGACCAAGTATAACAGTAGAGATTAGAGACTTGTTATGGTTTTCAAGTTCCATGAAAATTTGAACGGTCTCTAATTATGACTTATCAGTTGATCACCAGCCTGGTGCTTTCAAAAGATGCATCAAAGAAGAACAAATAGATGTCACTGAAGCCTAAATCTCTCCTTAGACCCTAGTTTTTTCTCACGTAAGCAGACCCCACCTAGGAGATGGACATTTCAGGTTCTTTTTTTCATTTTTTTGGTGTGGTTTAACACAGGTGTGGGAAATGATTCATCATTTTCATTTACCCCAGTGCCGCAAAGGCCCCCGGTGGGGTAAGGGGGGGTCGGATGTACGCAGTCTTACCCCTGTACTAAAGCACAGAGAGACTGTTTCCGGATGACCCATAGTGAAAATCCCGTCCAAAATTGCATGGACTGACTGCTGCTTCATAACAAAGAAGCGCAGACAGTTTAGTGAGCCATTTTGCTTTATTCCATCATAATCTCAAGCCAAAAAATAATGAATTTTTGGCTCCATTGCAAATGATGGAAACTGGTCTGCTTTGGGTTTTTCTTTTTCTTAATCGGGATGTTATTGTGTTTTGTTGGAATTTTATTGTATTTATATAATTATATTTCAAGTTTAGTTTTATCAGTTTTGCTTAGGTTTTAATCAGTTCTGATTTGGTTCGATTAATACAGTTTGAAACAATTTCCATCATTTGCAATGGAGCCAAAGACTCACTGATTTTTGGCTTGGGAATATGATGGAATAAAGCAAAATGGCTCACTAAACTGTCTCTGCTTCTTTGTTATGAAGCAGCAGTCAGTCAATGCAATTTTCGACGCGATTTTCACTATGGGTCATCCGGAAACAGTCTCTCTGCGCTTTAGTACAGGGGTAAGACTGCGTACATCGGACACCCCCTTATCCCACCTTACGATGGGAGCCTTTGCGGCACAGGGGTAATGATGATGATGATGAATACAGTTTGAAAAAAAAAACATTACCAAAGTAAAACTGAAAAGCATTACCCTAGCAGATAAATTGTCAAATAACATCATGAACTTCCTTTACAGTAACTGCGGAATCTTCTAAAGAATAGCAGAATGCTTTACCTGGGGTTGTATGAGATCAAAGTTTTTAAATTGACAGACTTTCCCCATTTTTTGAAGCTCCTCTTTCATTAGGCAGCTGAAATCATTTGAACCACAGCAGAAGTCGACAATCTGTTTAAGAAACATATTGATCATCCATCAGTACTAAATTGTAGTTTATTTTTACTAAAAAACAAATCAACCATCATTCCATGAAACCTGAATCCTGTGCACATACTCAACTAATCTAAGTTCTCATAAAAAAAGATAAGAGCTCATCCATATAGCAATATAGCATCAGTTATTATATGTCTCAGGCTCGCACATCTCACTAGTTATAGAGAAATGAAGAGAGATTATTTAAAAGTTGCTGAAATAATGAAAATAGCCAAAAGGGGACAGAATTCATTAAAAGTGTGAAAATAATCGAAGCAAATATGAAAGAGTGTGAGCAATTTTACCATGTCACCATCTTGTACATACCACCGAAGCCTATTAACAATCTGCACATTTAGAACATGGGTTAACACTTATTTTATAGACACCAAAGTGACCAAACTCAGTGAACGTACTACTAATAATAATTAATAATATAGATACGGAAAGGAAACTGAAAATTGAAATGCATTTAACACAACTTAACCAGCACTATGGGGACGTAACCACTACAACCAAACACAAAATTGAGGAAGATGAAATTATCAGAGCCAGTAATCATCTGTTGTTCTCTATTGTAATTAAAATTCCTTCCATCCCATTTTATGCACCTAGCTCGTGCATTGAGGCTTGACTTAAATTGTTGTTATTGTTCTCACTAAAACATTGCGTCTTCCGGTCAAAAAAAATGGTCGAACTTTTTGTAGTTGTATAGTGCACATAAAAAAATTGTTAGATAGAGCTAATAGTAAAATTTACAAATTCTCAAAAGCAATAATATTGTTCATTTATTCTCAAAATTTCTGTAAACCCGAGTTTTATTGCCAGTGACCTAAATATACACACCACGAACAAAACCAAATGCACCACTTTATATATAGGATAAGTTGAAGCATTAACATACCTCTTTTAGTTTGTCAAGTTTTGTGAAGTGGCGGCCAAAAGATGTATATCTCACACCATTGAGAAAAGGAGAGATGTAAGAACCTATGTTCTTCTGCAATGTAGGAAAAGAGATGCTTTGCAGTGTTAACTGTTAAGGTTCTGGTTGTCGTCAATCAATAGCAAAACTTCCATCTCAACTCAAATTGGATATAAATTCACATATTTTGAAAGAACACACACACACACACATTTGTAAACCTTCCATTTGAAGATATGTTTGACAATCCCAGGTTCACAAATAGCCTTTGCATCCTCTATATTCTGCCCTTCTTCTAATTTCTTCAAGGCTGCTTGAACAGCCTATGATGAGGGGCCAAAAAGAGTAGAAAGATAGATCTTTATACTTAAAAACTGCAGAAAATATTTAATATATGTTCCAGCTTCATTAAACTGATAACCAATTGTCCATATACCTTTACAGCACGCTCCACCTTTGCTTCAGTAATGGTCTTTGCATCATCAAATCTCGATGAAAAAGTAAGGATGCTCTTCTTTTTATGCTCCATGATAAAACTATGCTCATCAAAGGAAGAATCGACACTTTCTACAAGTGCAAGTATCCTGCAAAGCCAACATACTGTATTTAATGGAAAATAATACTACCTCCGTCCCACAAACATTGGGGCATGAGGGGGTGATGCGGTTATTAAGAAAAGTGGGTTTATGTGGTTGATATTGAATTGATAAAGTAGGAATAAATTGGAAATTATTTAGAATCAGTGAACCACACAAATTTTACCAAATTTGGCATGAGACAATCTTAGTGGGACAGACTGAAAAGAAAACTTGGGACAATCTTAGCGGGACGGAGGGAGTAGAAGATAGTTGAACCAAAGGGATCTTAATGAATATGGCAAAGCTAGAGCTCACTACCTCTTCTTTGTCTCAACCCGCGAATGCCATTCTCTATTGCCCTTCACTGCCATTTCTTTTTTCACAACATTTTGTTCCTTTGGAACGAACCTAATATTTACTGCTTCTCTAAACTTGCCTTTGTCCACAGCAGGATGCTTGATTGTTATTTTTGGTAAGTGAAGGGATGCTGGCCTTGATGGCAGCATTGGAGCTACTTTTTGTGGGTTGCTGTTTTTTATCATTTCGTCGCCAAAAGACCTTTGGACAGGTCTTTCCCGCTCACCTTCCAAGATAATTTTCAAATGTCCATACATGTTACTTCTCCACTGAGAGAATACAGGCTCTTTGCCCGGTAGATTCCCAGAAATCTTCTTTTCCTTTGGGTCTTCAAATGGAAACAAGATATGATCTCTTCTTGGAGTACCTATTGAAGGAATCATCTTGTGTTCCCTATTCTAAATGCATCAGCATTAAATAATGGTAGGATCTGGGTAAGCATGTAGTCAATAAACCTAACTTAGCTTACATGCAATATATCAAGACACGACCAGGCAAAAGTCCATCCCATGCCCTTTGTTGAATACCTTTTTGGCCATCACTCTCATGAAAAGTAATGTTCCTGAGAAGTTTTACATTACATAGACTATAAAATCAAAAAAATATGAGGGGGTCAGGGAAATATAAAAAAATGAAAGAATGAAAGAAAAACCTGGGCAAACATTTCCTATGATATGCCTTGGGACAGCGTCGGCAAACAGCAAATTGCAAATCATAGACCTTTTTATCTTCTCCTTGCTTGCATATAACACATTTATGAGCAGGACATGTAAATGCTTCTCCATCTGCAATATATTTTTCAAGTTTCTTGGCTTGAGTACCATCAGATGGATATACTAGCCCAGAGACACACTTTGGATGAAAGAAATGACCACAGGTTGCAGATACGCATGGAAAGACCTATAAAATCAAATAACTATATTTAGTCGCAATCCAATTCCACAGAGTGGGGGATGAAAGAAACGACCACAGGTTGCGGATATGCATGGAAAGACCTATAAAATCAAATAACTATATTTAGTAGCATATCTAATTCCACAGAGTGATACATGCCTGTTAGGTCAGGATTCAGGAACATACTGGTTGAGGTTGTAGCTGACATGGCTAAACTAAATGAATTGTCCAAAGAAATTAGTCAATTTTCGTCAATAGATTAAGGGCCACAAAAGGTACCAGCTCCACATTTTAGGAGATAAGTGATGCATACAAGAGCCTGTTTACTCAGAAACAAAATGGTTGAAGGTCGTAGGTGAAATGGCTGAATTGACTGAATAAAATGAATTGTCTAATGAATACTCAAAATATTTTCTGAAATAGATAAAGAAAACAATATCTCAAAATGAAGGTAGAAATGTCATTTTCTTTCATTTTAACCATTTATTTAGTCAAGAAAGTAACTCATGGAATGATATAAGTTAGTGGTTGGTGAACAGTTTGGCTAATAAGGGTCATAAGCTGAAAACAATATACTCCAAATGAGCACTATGTTACACATCAGTAAAATTAACTACACTGTGCTGAGTTCATATCTTGAAGTTCATAAGCATTGTACTACTATTGTGAAGTTCAAGCATTGCCTCGCATGTTGTAAGTTGATACCTATATTTACTTCTCCAAGAAACGGAATTGGGAATAAAATTGACCGAGAAGGGTCTACACAATCCTCTTTCTCAACATCCGTTCAGTCAAGATAGGGAAAAGAAAGTCAAACCTCAGCTGCCCCAGAAAATTTCTCAGAAAAACCTAATAACCCACATGCAAAGCATTGGTGACGCCCATATTGACAATTCTTGCAAACAAATCTCTGAATTGCCTGTGTAGACAGTTCATAGGAACAAATTGTAAATCTTGAAGGATGAGGATGACCCCCAATCAATGAAAGACAATATTTCAGATGCAAGGATCCAAAGGAAAAAGTTTTACTTCTACTTTGCGACTAGTATAGCCAAGAGATTGACAAAAGGAATCCACACCAGATTCTATAGTCGGATGGAAGGATCGTATGCATCTTCCTTCACAACTGCAAACCATGTAAAATGATAACAATGAAATAAAATAAATGTAAAAGCGTCAACAATCAGCTGTTGAAGATATCAAGATACTGAAGCAACTAACCCCTTCGAAGTCCTTAATATGGGTACTTATCTAAGGAGGTACTGAAATAACACTCCGGATTACAAGCCAAAATGGATTTATGGATTTCAACTTTTGGATTAGAATATGCCATTTCAGCAGCGTAGCGTTGAAAACTATATATATTGCAACACTCTGGGGCATTAGTTTTCTATCACCAATTTTCCATGTGTTACTAGATGATAAAGGAAACTATAAAAACCAGTTGCAGTTTGCCTCTTTTTTAAATGGGTTCAAATAAATACACGCATATAAAGGGTATAAATAATGTGCATACCACAAAAGTTCACCCCCATTATCACAAAGTGCACAGACATGATCGAAGATTCCATCTTCTTCTTCGTTATCATCACCATCACCATCATCATCATCATCATCATTGTAATCATCATCACTATCGTCGTCCTCATCAATAATAAATTTGCGTTTCTTATATGTTTTGTACACCTTTGGTTTAATAGAATTTTCATCAGTTGCAATATATAAGCAGGACCAAAAGGGAGAAATAAATGCTTCCATAAAGTTGCCTTTCAAAACATGTAGAGCTGACCTCACAAGCACTTGTATTGTCCATACATGTCTCCCTGAGAAATCCAGCCAAGTACTGTTTCATAAAGAAGTTAATTATATGCATTGAAGAACAAGCACAACATGCAATGCAAGCAGGTCAACTCTACTAGGAGAAGTAACAGTATGCATTTCAGTGACTTGAAAATTATTCAAGTATAGTGACATAATTCATTCAATATGGACAACTTAACTATGTTAATAAAACAATTATCTATCAGTTCGAATATAGCAACAGAACATTTCACACGAGATATCAGTAATATATTTCTCACAGCAATGGTTAAGTAAATATTACATAACCTAAAGCAAGGTTGACTGTTCTATCACAAAAGTAGTCAAGTAAAATGCATTAATACCTCAGACTTTGATACATCTTTGTCTCTAAGAGCAGTGTCTCTGAGTACTGATAAGTGTTTCAATAGGTCGTCTTCACAAGGTAAAACCTCATATGCACTAAATAGAGATGACAATTAAGTTGTCGGTTAAAGTAAAATGTACAAGTAAAATCTCACAGTAAAAAAGTAGACAAATGTAATGTAAGTTGCTGTTGCATCTTTACCTTAAGGTTTTCTGAATGTGATTCCATACAACTTCTCTGGTTTCCAGAGGGTTAAATTTCACATAGTTCAGGCAATGGACAACAGTCAAGGCAGGTTTGATGATCTCCTCGTAGCTCTTCTTAGGTCTCAATAGCTTTATCCAAATATTGTCTTTGGGAAGTAGAACATAAATTTCTGGTAGGAAATAGGAGAACTCAAATTTCCATGCCACTACCTTCTTATAAACTTTCTGGATCCCTTCATCTCCAACTCCACACACGAATAAAGGCGTGCTTGATGAGTCAGAAATCCCACTGGAACATCTCTTGAGAGGCAAAAGAGCAAATGAAACGGGTACACTATTGCAGTCGTAGAAAAGGTAATCGTTTATGCATTCAGGAACAATTTCACCATCCTCTTCAGATGACGCCATGAACAGTTTGCTTGGAAAATTTATCTGATGAATGCATGAACCAAAGTGCTTAAACCCAGGCACTTTGGTGATTCTATTAAAATTTGTAAAGTTTTGTAGGAAGTCATGGTATTGACGGATTTCGTAGATTTATGAATAAATTATATTTAAAATATATTATATTAGTAAAATATAGAAAAATTATATGAAAAATGGTTAAAATTGTCATCTACCGTAACTTCAGCTAATATAGCAAAAAAGGTAATTTTAATCTTACTTTTTTATTGTTACACAATTCAGCGCGTGAAATCAAAAATTACGTGTTTGATTAAAAAGTTGGTTGATAAGGCTGATAACTTAAAAACAGAGTCACCAAACGGACTCATAGAGCAAAATCGTGAACTATTATCACCTTATCCTTTTAATCTCTAGACTAAAAAATTTGTCATTTCAGTCCCTATTTTTAGGTAAAAATAATAAAAGTATCTCAAACTTTGAAGGGGTAGGTAAACACCCCAAACTTGCATATGTAATTTAAATACCTCATACTTTATCTAAAAAGTTATTTTTGCACCATTGTCGTGTATTATTTCTTTCAAAAATATAAATTTATGAGGTTAATTGCATGATTTAAAATAGCAAATTTAAACAGTTGCAATTATATAAATTGGGGGTAACCGTATTTATTTCGCAAAGGAAATTTAGAATGTTACTTGTGTCTTCATGAATTCTAAAATATTTTAAATTATGCAATTAACACCATAAATTTACATTTTTGAAAGAAATAATACTTGATTATAGTGCTAAAATATTTTTTCATATAAAATTTGGGGTATTTTAAATTATATATGAAAGTTTGGGGTGATCATCTCAACCCCTTTCAAAATTTGGGATATTTTAATTATTTCTCCCTTATTTTTAACATAATCCTTTTGTCATTTTAACAGTCTAACTTAAGAAAAGTTCAAAATATTGACATCTAAAAGACCCATGCGAATAGCAATTTATGTTTAAGACATTGATCACTTGAAAAATTCAACATTAAGAAAAAGATTAAAGAATTTTTATGGTGCAAACAATTTCACTAGGTATATTTATGATTGACCACCGAGTCGGGGGTAGCCGGAATCCGAGTAAAGTAAGAGAGAATAACTGATCGGAAAGTTCAAGTAAATATTTTAGCAGAGTAACATCAAGAGAATACAAAAATTGATCTCTTTCCACAAGTTGGAAGGTGATATTTATACTAAAAAGGCAATACTTGGTGCCCAAGTAAAAAAAATGTTGATCTAATGGGGAGAGGACACGTGTCCAATCCGTTCTAACAAACTAACGGTCTAGATCAATGGGACGCAACCACGTGTAAAGGTGGTTGGAGAGATAACTGGGACAACTGGCTGATTGGAACTGCTCCTAACAAACTGCTACCCGAATGTTCGTGTGACTACACATGTATGTTTGGGACATCCTTCCTGCCCACTGCCAGGGGTGACGTTCCTTTAGGAGTAATGATGATGTGGTAGTACTCTTGTGTGGTGTCTGTTTCCGTGTATTTGTCTATAGTCCATAATGTTGTAGTCAGACCTCGAGCTCAATGTGGCCAGTTCTTTGAGGCTCAGACCAGTGTTAGGAAATGTGTTCATTGTCTTCAGTTCTGTCTTTGAGACCGTTGACTCCTTTGTTTGACTTCTGTTGACCTCGTGTTGACGATTAAGGTCAGAATTGGTGCCGAGCTCGGTCCACTTGAGGTCGGGCTCATAACTTGTCACGTTTGAGCAGTTCCTGAGCTTGGTATTTTCCTGACCTCGGGGGGTCGAGGTCGGGGTCGGCTGGCCTTCGGACCTTAGTCGTTTTGTTGCCTGGTGCTTTGTCCCGACCTTGGTGGGTCGGGGTCAGTCCCAGTCGTGGACTTAGTACTTTTATGCATCCTGGGATGAATCCGTGAAGTAAACCACCGATGATTATGATACCCTTGGGGTATATTGGAATATTACTCCATCATGAGTTCCGCACTCTTCGAAGCATAGGTTTGTTTTCATCTGTATCGATAGGAGGGAAGGGTCTCCCTTTACTGCCCCTGGGGCACTTTCGTTCAACAGGCACAATGCCGCTGAGCAGAGCGAGTTTGGTGATGATGTTGACACCTACGTTGAGTACGGTGATCTGGACATAAAGGCATTTGTGACCCAGGAGAAGCTGGAGAAAGACATGGGCTTTGTGTTCTTCACTGAGGCCCCAACCGAAGACCAGGGAGCTGCTGTAGATGGAGAACCCCCGGGCGTGCCTGGTGCTGACGCGTGAGCTGCTGCTCATGAGGAGGCTAATTTTGTTGCAGCCGTTGCAGCCTCGCTTGCCATGGGGCAGGGGAGTTCTATTGGAACTGTTGGGCCAACCGTTTCTGAGGTGTTGGGGCCCCAATATTCAGGTGAGGAGAGGGCATTTGCCCATATGTGTCACGCCCCGGACCTACCCGGACACATCAACAACCCGCCGTACAGTACGAATAGTCAACCGCAGTCCGACTCATCCATACTATACAAGGCGTCTTGAATACCATTCACACATAGTACATCCATAAACAAACATAATGTAAAACATTTATTAAAGCAGTGGAAACAATTGATACAAGTGTTCAAGCCATACTTGGCATAATTAGGCATGCAAGCCCCCAAAGTAATTATTCAGAAAGTATTATCCATGAGCATTATTCATATTGTTTTTTTCAAAACAAGAACGGGAGAAGCACGAACCAAGTCTTCTCCTCAGAAACTTCCCGAAGCAGCGGCTGGTGGTAGCAAGCTTCAAGTTCTACCTGAAACTGTGAGGTGGCCTCCCCCGTGAAGGGGAGATCAGTACTTGGAAGCATTTGACAAGTACAATGACAACTATACTAAGTATAATCAAAGTTTAAATCTCTGAGGCCCTCAACTAGGGCATTATTACATTATAGTTAATCCGTTCATTTAATATCAATTCATCATTATTTGTCACGGTCTAGAGCCCAGCTCATAATCACCGTCATCTACTACGGTCTAGAGCCCAGCTCATAATCACCGTCATCTACTACGGTCTAGAGCCCAGCTCATAATCACCGTCATCTACTACGGTCTAGAGCCCAGCTCATAATCACCGTCATCTACTACGGTCTAGAGCCCAGCTCATAATCACCGTCATCTACTACGGTCTAGAGCCTAGCTCATAATCACCGTCATCTACTACGGTCTAGAGCCCAGCTCATAATCACCGTCATCTACTACGGTCTAGAGCCCAGCTCATAATCACCGTCATCTACATCGGTCTTGAGCCCAGCTCATAATCACCGATTCCTTATAATTCAAATTCTTAGGATCTAATTCATCCATTTCTCAACTAACATTTCCAACTAATATTTCAATACTAGTTATTTATTTATTTCAATATAATTCCTTCTTCTTGCATAATTGGCCTTAATATCAAATATCACTTTCACACCTTCATGGCTTCTCCTCATGGCATCAAAGTATACTATCCCAAATGATATTCATGGTTGGTACAACCATCATACACACATATTCATAACATCTAAACATACACAATTTATTCATAAATTTGTGTATCATGCATACTATACTTTTAATCAATAGTAGTTCTATTTAAACATTATTAACCATCAACAATTCATGCACATCACATTTATATTCACTTAGGAAATCCCATGAAATTAACCCAAAGATTATAAGTATCATAGTCGGTCATCCTCACCTTAATTAAGCTTAAGCGCGTTCTACGTCTCTCGATTGGACTTTGACCAACTCCGGCGAACTTTGACCAACTCCGGCGAACTTTGACCAACTCCGGCGAACTTTGACCAACTCCGACGAAACTCCGGCGAAGCTCAAAAATACTTTAAATCAAGTTCCTAACAAGGTTTTTGATGGAGTATATGGGTCTGAGCCCCAGGACCCACATACTCGGAAGAACAGAGCACAAGACAGAGCGGCGCCCTCGTCGGCCAAACGCCCTCGTCGGCCGAGAGGAAGCCAACCCGGATTATGATCCCGAGTCCAAGGAACCCGGGTGCCCCCGTCGGCCGTGCCCTCGTCGGCCGTGCCCTCGTCGGCCACGACCTCGTCGGCCACGAGGACCTCCCAGAATCGGTTCCTACACTTACTCACTTGTACAGCCCATTAGTGGCTTTGTATTCGGCCCAGTAGCGGTCCAGTTGTAAATGGGCCTCCCAAGCCCAAGGCTTGGGAGCCCAACCCTAATTTTCTCTATAAATACTCCCCTTGGGAGTAGTTATAGGGGTTACGAAATCATTCTATTGAAGCATATTATTGCACTTCTCTCTCTAGCTCTCACTTCTCTCTAGATATACTCTATCATTTGGTGCTCTCGTTGAGAGCTAGAACAATCAAGTTAGCACCCTTCGTCGCTACCAAGCACAGCTAACCACTGATCATGGGAAGAACTAAGTCAAACCGCAACCTCGTCAGCAAAGCCATCCCTGAGGACCAAGAGCCCAGGGAGCACGATGAGGACGCCACGGCCGACCAGGTCGGCGGAGGGGACCTCTTCCAGGAAGCCTTCAACCTCACGACGGACCTCCGCAACCAACTCAACGGCGGAGTCCCCGACGCCCGCCTCGGCCTGGAAAAGAAACGAGCTGAGAAAGCGGACCACGCCCCGGCCCAGCCTATGGCCGCGGCCTCTCCGTCCGTAGATCCTCAGGTCCAGGCCGCACTATCGGCTATCATCGCCAGCTTGGCTCAGAATCCCACCGTCCTCAGCGCACTCTTGCCAAGGACCGGGGGAAACGTCACTCCACCTCCTCATCCCCAACCCCTGGCCGACCAGATAGGCAACAATGAAAGGGTTGTGGCCCAGGACACGGCGTCGTCCCACTCCCACCCTGCTTCCCCTTTTCGGCCCGGGCAGACCCCAGCGCGTGGAAAAGCCTCTGCCTTCAATAGGCTAGGTGACACGCGCCGTCGTCCGGTTTCGGAGAGGATGGCGGGACGGATTGGTGATCCTCGTCCTGGCTCGCCAAGGGAGAGTTTGGGGTCTGTGTCCCGGACAGCGGACCAGCCCCGCCCGGACAAGGGCAAGGGGAAGTTGCACGAGGATGACGTGCGTCACCAGATCAACGCGGC